CATCGTTTTTGTATGTGGCATATAATGACGAAATTGTGTGACAAAGTTGGTCATAGTTTGCACAACGATGCTGGATTCAAAACAAAACTCTACAAACTTGTTTGGAGTCGAAGCATCGAACCGACTGAATTTGAAACCAAATGGTCAGAACTCATGCATGCCTATAATTTGGAAACACATAGTTGGCTTTCCAATATGTTTGCAAAGAGGGAATATTGGATTCCGGCCTTCTTTAGGGATGTTAAAATGAGCGGTCTAATGAGAACTACGTCTAGATCGGAGAGTGAGAATAGTTGGTTTGGACATTTCACGAATAACTATGCTAGCCTGGTTGAGTTCTTGCTACACTTCGAGAGTGCAATGGATGCACAGCGGAACACGTCGATGAAATTACAAGCCGACAGTGAATCCTATTCAGCAGACTTAAAGACGCCTTTAGCTATTGAGAAGCATGCATTGACTGTATACACAACAAACATATTCTATCTTGTGCAAGAGGAAATATGTGCAGCGTGCTTCACTTGTCGTGTTATGAACTTTTCAGAAGACAATGGTCAGATGACTTTCAACATTAAGGAATTTAATGGCGGGACGTTCATTGTGTCGTACGACGTAAATCTGAAATCGTCCACATGCTTGTGCAAGCATTTTGAAATGTACGGGTGGTTGTGCAGGCACGTATTTGTTGTATTGAAGGACATAAACATCGACCTTATACCAAGCGTGCATATTCTTTCGAGGTGGACAAAATTGGCCATTCTAAATCCCATGTTTTGCATTATTGATGGGATAACTAAACAATGTGCTCAAATAGATGATAGGAAGTTCATAGTTAACAAACTATGGTCTGACATACATTTATGCATGGGGATGGCTGAGACATCACTGGACCGGCTTGTTGAGTTCTCGAGAATTATTGGAAACCACAAACACATATTGTTGGCTGAACAAGAGAGCGTTTCAAGTGAAATCACCAAAGAACAATGGTTTGAATCATTTGTCGGGTCGTCCGTCCCCCAGGAAGTGAGTATTCACCCTCCAGAACAATCAAAAAACAAGGGCAGTAGAAAGAGACTCAAGAGTAAAAAGGAACAGGCAGTTGAAAAATCAGTGAAGAAACGACGTATATGCAAGACATGTGGCGAGAGAGCAGGCCACAATACACGGACATGTCTCCAGAAACAACAGTGGTACACAATATACCCTTTAAACAATGTCTCATACGGATGTCCTTGCAGTTTTTACTGTTATATTATATTTTTTTTTTTTTTCAGACTGTTCCCAAACTCCTGCCTCAAAGTGGAATCAAGGTAAAACCTCTATATTCTTATGTACAAGTGAGCTGTTGTGGATCTTGCTATGTATTTGAACACACGTTATGACAATATTGATTTACAAGCATCTCGTATATTTATACTAATTATTGAATGTATTCACTTGTAGATAAAACCAACCTGGGATCTAGCAGTTGCACGTGGACAAGTTGCACACGGACAGTTAGTTTATTTCGGTTACTATGTACATGAAAGATGCATTGGCCATAAATTCAGTGTCGATTTATTAATTCAGACAAACATCATTTCATTCGTCGTACATTGTTTTGTGCGACCCAAACTGTTATTGATATAATGTTATGCATAGTAAAGGCGTGATATAATTTTGAATTGTGTGGATATCATCGCATTCGAATGGTGTTGTTTGCACATTCTTGTTGTTCACAATGCACAATGAAAATATAATACACATAACTCACGCTTGCACAATATATAACAACAATTGGCGCATTAGTTAAATACATATTGCACATTAAAAAATAAAGATAATAATAACAAAATAAAAGGTAATAATTAAGTAAAAATAATGAACCGTAACCCTAACGTCACTAAAATCATAAATAAAACATACTGGTTCGATAAAAGATGACACTATACGTACAAGGCGCACACCATACCATTCTCGATATTCATACTACAAGACCATGAACCAAACATCTATTTTTTATTTGAGTGGGATGTATGAATGGTATCAATCCATTAACTGCAAACTCAATACCGACCCAATAACAAACATATTGCATACGGGTATCACAACGTCAACAATAATACTCGAACAGTCATGTGACAGCACACGGTGACGCTTGCACGTTATACTGTGATCCGTTGCACAATCTTGAAGACTACATTGCACATTATATAAAATGTCAAAAAAGATCCCAAAAAAATATACGAAACACATATCCAACACCTGAAACTAAAAATTCGTACTTCAACAACGCCAAAACATCTAAAAATCTGGATACCATAATGTGTCTGACGGCTGGTTTTGTCAAGTGTTCATCCACAACCAAAAAGATAAAATAAAAAACATAGTACGTCGCTTATAGAAATGCCATATCCACAAGTCACTCAAACTCACAAAACGACACATTCCATAAATCACACGCTACTTATAAGAAC